CTGGCTATGGAACCAATGTAAGGGGCCCAAAATTAAGACTAATGAGAATGCGGCAAAGACTATGTCCTTGCCGATGTAAACTGCTAATCTGGCCAATGATATGGTAAATGGTAAAAATGGACTGTACGTTGTAATAGCGGGCTTTCTAGTCTTCAACCAACGTCAAAGGCGCTTTTACACTAACGTGCCACACGTTCACCCTTTCCACACCCAACATTCACCACAGCGATGGCAAAGTCCATCGAACAGAAAACTAACTCCCTTCATAACATTCCACACCACCGATGCTATGCATCGGGAGCAATTTGGGTTCCAGTATCCTTGCCTGCAAGGATACTTCGACATGTGGGCAGGATGAGCCGGGGATCGAATGCAAAACCCTTCCTGATTGGGGCGGGACGACGCCGTCTGGCCTCTGAGGCCACCCAGCCCCCGTGATAAATGCCATGCCACTGGTAACTGAAGAAGCCTGGTGGTGGGAAATAAGAAGCTCTACTACTATTCATTCGACAAGGTGATAACTAATGCATCCTAAACCGATCGACATATAAACGATGGACTCCAACTTCTTTCGCACTGTAAAAAAAATAGAAGTCAAAATATCACACCCAGCCATCTCTGGCCCACGTCAGAGACCAGAGTCTGTGGCAGGGGGGATATCAGATGTTTTTGGCCCTTCAACTTTTGAAGGCTGTTCCATATTTGTCCATCTTTAATATATGTCAATGGTTCTAAACCAGTGGTTCCCCAAACCAAGCCCTGCTTCATTTCAGTTAAGAAAATATGCACTGGGTTAGTTTATCCTATCAGTTGCAGATCCTTATTATTTCTTTAGAACAAACAAAAAAAGATATACAATTAGTGGACGCCCGCCTCCTGCCTCCTGAGCCACCGGTGCCCTGTGAGTTAATAGGCAACCCGTATTCAGTGAGCTAGGGAGAGAAAGCCAGCTGAAAGTCCTGTAAGTGTAAAGTAGTAAAAACATTAAAACCAAAGAGCTGTTGGAAAAATGGCTTTAAGTGTCAGGGACCAGAAAATGTAACCCACTCGTAACTCTTCTCATGAACATTTCCAGAGGTCTCTGAACGTGTTCACTTGGTGGATTTACAGGCATAAATACACAATATTAATATTTGTACACAGAGCTGCGCTCAAATTATGGCATTTGTGGCAGTTGAAATCACAGACTATACAACTCTGTTACATGTGTATCAGGAGATCAGCTTTCACTCATCACAGGTATCCAAACTATATGAAAATTGATATTTTATCTCTAGCGTGCTCTAACCCATCCTTCCTAAAATTGTTCCATTACTGAAACAGTTAAAACCACTGTCACTTACACGTTTTTCTGGGTAATTAGCCGCCTCTTGCTCCGCTGTTGGCTTGGTTAATATATCATTAGCTCGATGATCAAGTTCGGTCTAGACCTGCTC